CCCGCACTCCGGGCTGGCTCCGCTGGGGCCTGCAGGGAGAGGGGCCTGCTCGTGCCGGGCTTGCCACGAGGCGGACGGTGGGAAGGAGGGATCGCGGCAGGCGGGCGGGCGGCGGGAGGGAAGGCAGGAAGGAAGGAGGCCGGGCTGATTAGCATGCAGCAGCGCTCGCAAGCCCGGCTCCATTGTTTTAACACCTCCCCTCTCCTCCGCGCCAATCTGTCACCGTTCAGCAGGCGAACGCTGCTGCCTCGAATGCTGCTCTTCTCAAATGAGACGGATAATTAGCTGCCCCGCACGAATGGCGCACTCTTCTCACCCCTGATTGCTATCACCTTCTTGCTCCTGGCAGTTTTGACACCTCGTAATCAGCCTGCTGCTTTTTCTCTTTTCTTTCCCTATTTCTGATTTTTTTTCTCCCCCTTCCTTCAGGGTTTTTTTTTTTTAATGCAATCCCAGTTGCCATTTGGATTGAGACTCCTCTGCCGAGTTAACCTCGTACGCGGGGGGGGGGGGCGCTCCTCCGAGCCCCTCTGCTCAGCCACGCGCGGGTGGGGACAGGACAGGAGTCGCTGCTCTGCGCCTGCAGGGCCCAGCGCTCCGCGGGGAAAGCTTCGCTCGGCAGCCTGCGCCCGGGGAAGGAGCATTTCGCGCGCCTCCGCTCAGTTCAGGGGGTGGGGGGGTTCTTGAGACTCATCTGCTTAGTTAAACTCAGCCGCGGGGGGACACGCAAAGGCGAGCTCCGCGCCCGCTCGGCCCTGGGGGGGCTTCACCTGAGCCGCCTCCAGCCGAGGGAGCGGGTCTGCGGGCGCGGGCCGGGCGGCAGGGGGACTTCGCCCCTTCTAGCTGCAGGGACAGGAGAGATTTCAATTAATGCGCTGCGCAGCTCGTAGAAATCACCAAAGCGCAGGACTCGCGGAATCTGTCACAGGAGTGTTTTCCTCCCCTCTAACAAGCACTGACAGTCTAATTACGGGAGCTTACGAGCAGCTGTCGAGGTAGCCGGGGAGGGAGGCAGAGGAGCTACATGTGCTCTGCCAGCCCCCAGCCGCTGCAGCAGCAGGAGCGGGCTCCGGAGCCGCCT